AGTAACAGTAATAAATCACAGCAATAGTACATTCATGTAGTTGTAAACAGCATGATAATATATTAAGTAATCCAAAGTATTCAGAATACGTTACTCTCATCGAGTAACGTAACGGAATACGTTACAGAATACATTTTGGGGCATGGAGTCTGTAATCTGTAATGGAATACATTTTAAAAGTAACCTTCCCAACACTGGTGATTGCTGCTCATACGTACCACAACGTTCACCTCCACCAGAGTGGCTGCTCCAAAGGCCAGGGCTGCAAACACCATTCCCATGGCCATTTTCCTCAGAGGTCTGAAAACAGAGAGAGTTGGTGCCCAACAGTTAACACCTTTACCTGTTTTTTACTGCTTTTTAAAATATTCTGAAAGCGTGGCTTTATCATTTTATCAGAAGGGTTATTTCTACACCAGTGTCCTCCCTGACCAACTATCTGTCGCATTATTTCCTTGTTATGGCTGTGCATCCCTAAGTCTGGTCCTATTGTTAAAAGGGAGTTCTTGTTTCCTATTGTCACCAACTCCTTGCTCATTGGGGATCATCTGATTGTTGGGATACTCTCAGAAGCGTTACGTCACTTGGGTGCAAACTCCAGAAAGTCAGGATCTCCTAAAAAGAAAATTGGTCCACTAAGAATATGATTTGGGAAACTTTGGGGAGTCTAAAATATTCACATTATCCTGTTTTTGCCAAGCATTTCAATTTTCCTGTGTCTGTATATGGATCATGCAAAATGCTTTTACTGATGAGTGAGCTTGAATTTCTTTCTCAGCTTTGCACGACAAAAAAATATCGGATTGGGTGCATTGGTGTAAAGCATGCCGCCACTGGAGTTTGGAGCAGTGGAGACGTGATCTCTGGAATCACGAATCACACTTCTCCGTCTGGCAAATCCGATGGACGACTCTGAGTTTGGCTCTTACCAGGAGAACAGTACTTGTCTGACTCCAAGGAGGGAGGATTATGGTGTGGGGTTGTTTTACAGCAGCTGGGCTTCACCCCTGAGTTCCAGTAAAGGGAACTCTTAATGCCTCAGCATACTAAGACATATTGGACAGTTTAATGCTGCCAACTTTGTGGGAACAGTTACATATATGCCTATATGTTGTTAGTACAAACGATGGCCTATTGCAGCTTGGATAGGCTGGATGGTAGTAAGAAACATAGTTTTAAATTGCTCTATACAGCATTATTATATTTTTTCAAACCAACCTAATACTCTTGAAGGAGAGGTCAGAGGTCAAATGTTACTTGATATTTTAAATATTTTTACAGTAGTTTCTATATGTCGACATTACACATTTCACTAGAACCACCGTCTCTTTATACTTACAAGTTATAAGGTTTTTATGTCAGTTTTTAACTAATAAATCAAGTAAGTTGGTCGATATAAGTCAAATTTGAATGAACTGTTAATATGACCTCACTCTACACGCTTACAAAGATTGATCAGATGTCATTCAAAACTTTATGAGCTATCGTGCACACAAGTAGAATGATTACACACATGCATGCTAATGCGACCAAAAACGTAATGTGGTGGGGGCGTGGTGTGCGGTGCCGTGCCGTGCAGGGAGGGCGGATGCACCTGCGTGGCATCCTCAGTTACGCCCGCTATGTTAAAACACGAGGAATCAGGGTTTGGAGAGGGTCGAGAAGTTGTGGTTTGATGCATGTCGAATGAATAAAGATGGCTTTGACTAACACTCTCTGGACCCTCTGAATTTCCCTACCTGAGAAACAAGTATGGAAATTCATATTTACACTGTGAGAAGTACTTTGGAGTCGGGTTTAAAAGTAAATGTTTAACATTCATTAAACATTCATTTGTAAATGAATACCAGCTTTGTGTTTACAGACACTTCCCTCAATCGTTAACTTTCTTTTCTAAGGCATAATCCTGGGAAATATATGTGTAATCACATGTTTCATTTTTTCCATTTTACGAGATTACAAGATGATCTCTGAATGAAATAAAGGTGGCAGTACAAAACAAAGCCCAAAAACATCCACTACTCACGTGATCTTGAGTCCGCAGAGTCTAACGAGCGGATATATGATGAGGTCAAAGATAGGCACAAAGACAAGAATCAGCAGAGCATTCAACATCTAGACAACAAGGGGGAGGAAAATTAGTCTTTTAACGACTCTATAAAAGCTCTGTAGAGTCCATAAAATCATAAATGTTGCGTCAATAAAGAGAGATTCTGATTCGGTATTGCTTGTAAAGAGATGGCAGTGAAGAAGAACCATAAAAGTGTTTTCATGAAAATAGCCTCATCACAGCCTAGTCAAACATTGGTCTTCATTAGTGAGGGGACTTGAGAGATGCTTCTTTTCACTGGATGTTTAAAATCTGTGCCTTAGATTAGCTGGTAAGTTCTGCATTAGAAATATATAACAGCTGTGCAGGACACTCCATCAATTATGGTGCTTTATTCAAGCACACTGGCTTTGAAACCTAACAGAGACTACGAGGGAGTGACTTTAAGAGAGTCTCGGGCTCTTTTTTATGCTTAGTCTTTAAATCGTAAAGCTTAAAAACACAGTAACCATTAACACTTTATGGTCAAGTTGTGTAATGCTCTTTACTGGCATAAGTGAAGCTGCAATGCAAGACATGGTAAGCCTCACTAATGACATCCACAGTGCCTGCTGACACTGGAGATAAAAAGAAACATTTTAATTTTTCCTGATGGCTTTGGTTTATTTTTGACTGTAATGACAGTGTGGCTTTTAACTTTATGCAAGTCTTTGTAACTAGTTTATAGTTTAAACTACTAATGGTTTAGCAATGCAAACTACAATCACTTTCAACCATAAATTTTGACTATGAACTTCAACACTACACGCCCATTTCAGCAGCTCATTTATTTATCAATTCTATGATATTTTCTAATTTTTCTACTTGCCTAAGCACCACCGTCTATATTTAAGCATCTGACACCTTTATACAGCCAAATTCTGAAACTAATGAATAAAAATCCAGTTCAGTGGATAAGAGACGAGCTATAAACTCTAAATGCAGCACATCAATTTCATGCTCTGTATTGGAAATATGTCAAACGGTGTTGTCCCTTTTAAATAAATAAATAGGAAAAAAATAGAGTCTGGCATTTATCCAGTGACCATAAAGGCTGCAATGAAGGCCATGACCAATGGTCAAGTGCAGATTAACATGTCACCGTCTTTTACTGCTTTTCTTAGCAGGAAAAAACTGGGACTGTAACTATGACATGATAAACTGACACAAACAAAAAAGAGGAGGAGACGCTAATCACATACATTCATGTGAAGATAAAGTTTTCTCTATGAAGTCCTGAGAAAAGCTAAGTCCACCCCATGATTCAGTAGTATGCAGAACCACCTTTAGTAATGGTTTTCTGTACTTTATCAGCCGCTCATCATTAACACAACATTGTGGGTGAATTTTGGAGGACTCTTCTTTACAGTGTTTCCATTTATTGAGGTTTGTGGGCATTATTTTTTTGCACAACTCTCATTTAAGGTTCCACCACAGGTTTCAATCGGGTTGACGGGACCATTTCAACACATTGATTCTCTTCTTTTTCAGTCATTCTGTTGTAGATTTACTGCTGTGCTTGGGGTCATTGTGCTGTTACACGGGCCATTTTGGGCCAAGCTTTAGCTGTTAGGGTGATGGCCTCATATTTCACTCTGGAATACTTTGGTATACACAGGAGTTCATGTCTGACTCAGTGACTGCAAGATGTCCAAGTCCTGTAGCTGGAAAACAAGCCAAAATCATCACCCCACCATCAACATAGTTCGAATGAAGCGTTTGTCCCTTTTTTAAAATCTTCACCAAACATGGAGCTATGCATGACTTCCACTATCCAAAGGACATTGCTCCATTGTTCTTGAGTTTTCTCCAGATGCAACTTTGCAAACCTAAGTCACGTTGCCATTTTCCTGGCCGCCCTTACAAACAAGCCGGCACTGTGATGAACTTTAGCATCTAGCATGCTAACTAGCATGCTAACTAGCATGCTAAC